GCGCGTCTAGATTGGCCACGGACGCTTTTCCGCAAAAAGTGCTTTGGGGGCAAGGCCCCCCTGCCAATCTAGACACTCTGTTCCGAAAATGCTTTTACCGGAAAACTTTTCCGTTCCGGAAAATCCTGCCAGTCTAGACGTAGCCCTGGAGTCTAGCCCCAAGCTGTGCCTTACACAAACAGCAGCAGCGCTTGCCTCACTCCAGCTTCTCACCCTCAGCCCAGCACTTTGCACAGTCACCTGGGTGTGGGGGACCCTGGCTTGATTCCCCCTCTGACAGGGACCCTGGTCCTGCTCTTTTGCCCCATCCCCCAGGGGAGGGGCCTAGAGCCTGGGTGAGGGGCTGTTCAAGGTGCTCTCCCTGTTCTAGCCCAGTCATTCAGGGCACTCACCTGGGCAGTGGGATGCCCCTGTGCAAACCCCTTCTCATCAGGCCAAGGGGGCATTAACCTGGGTCTTCTACAGGAGTAGATTTGCTGGGGCCTAGGGAGCAACTTCACTTCATGGGTCCTGGTCTTGTGCCCTGCATGCTACCCCCTAGAAGCCAGGGCCAGTGTTTTCTGCTGAACATTGTGTTACAATTGGACTATGGGGGGTTATAGCACCTTGGGCAGGCTCCAGAAAGAAAACGGTTGAGAATCCTACAGCACAGGTGTGAGCCCTGGACTGAAGCATCTGCAAATGCAGGGCTGGGAGGGCCTGGAACCCTGGACCTTTCCTTTCTAAACCCTGGGTCCCTTTTGTTACTCTGCTCTGCACTCTCCCGTTTGCATCCTCCAGACGTGCCTGTGCTCATCTCCCTCCCTCCCCTGAGAGATGTGGCCCAGTGGGCTAACTGGGCTGGGGTCTGGCAGTGGAAGTGAGGGTCCAGCTCCCTGTGCTCACTGGCAGCAATGGAGCAACATGACCCCAGCTCGCACTGCTCTCCTAAGCACATCGCTGCACTTCCTGATGGACAGTGCAGGGAGATGGTCCTGCGCCTCCCCGCAGCGACAGAGCAAAGAGGTCTGGGGTTGCATTGCTTCACTTGCCCCACTGCTGCTGGTGTGTGTGGATGGTTGCTATGGGCACTACCAGGTCCCCTAGTAGTCCATGGGGGGCCCAGAGGCTCTGGCCCCTATGGCTGCTGGCTGGTCTCTTGCCCCTCCTGCCCATGGGATTGGGACACATGCCCCTAAAAGTCACCTCTTTTTAATATGCCCCAGAACTGTAGTAGCTTTTCCGCAGCTGTGTCATGGTACTGACTTGGCATCCACCATAACCTGCAGCACCTTTGCAACGGTGTCACCGTCGAGCCAGTTCGTTTTGTAGTCGTGCATGGCTTTTGCTCCTGGGGGGAATTCTGCACCGCTGCAGACATGTGGAATTCGTGTCCCCCACAGTCCCCCCACCCCCCAGAAAATGCATTTCTGCCTCAGAAGTGCTGCAGTTCTGCCTTTCGCCACCAGAGGTCACTGCCGTGCCACAAAAACCAGTAGCAGGCACCCAGCCTTAGTCTGGTGCCACAGCATCCTCTGGTGGGCAAAGGAGAGACCTGCAGCATTACTGGAGCAGAAATGTATCTTGGGGTGAGGGGGGAGAAACTATTCCATGCCTGCCCAGTGCTGCAGATTTCCCCCAGGAGCAGCAATTCATTACAGCCTCCTACCTGCAGAGCCAGGTTTAGACAGAGCGGGGCACAGGGGACTGCTGGGGGGGTCACACACTGAGGTTCAGAATTGCTGGGTGGGTGCAGGGAGACGTGGGGATGGGGAGACAGGGGCAAATGCACCTGACTCAATGGGAGAGGCTTGGGGTCCTAACAATCCTGCCTCTTCCCCCTCCCCAAAGAAAGCATGATGCATACTTCTCCCATTCACACTCCTTACCTCTCCCTGGCACCTGCATTACCCTGTCTCCCCCAAGCCTCTTCAAGTGTTGCATGCCCATTCTTGCAGGTTCAGTGTAACTACACTGGCATTTCCCCTCCGTGTTCCCTTGAGACAACACACTCAAGCTGCTCAGCTCCCAACATCCCCTGCCTCTCGCTGCCCCAAGCAGGGTTTAGTGGGTGTGTAGCTCCCAGCCTTACCAGTGATACCTGCAGCCACGGGCCAGCTGCTGGGGTTGTGTTCTCTCTAGGAGCAGTGATGTGCAGCCATTACCAGTGACCACTCAGAACTTCTAAAATAGCACGTTTGTTCCAAGGACAAAAGCATTCCAGTGAGCCCTCAGCAAACAACCTAAGTGCCAACCTGCATGCTGACTGCTCCCAGAGGGCGCCTGCCAGTCTCAGTAGGCCCATGTAGGCTGGAGTCTTTCCAGCTGCTGAGCTAGAGAGAAGGGCCATGTCAGTCTGAACCCCGCCTTGTTACAGCAATACCCCTCGTTAGGGCTGTTCTCCCATCTGACACTCTGAGTGCAGAAGATGAGGACCCGGAAAAGATTTTTAAAATACCCAGCCACTAAAGGTTTCTGTTTAAAATCTCCCCAAGATCTTGGCTTGGTATTTCTGCCACTGCCTAAAGGCAAAACCCCCTTTGAGAACCTAGTCTCCCCAAGATCACTGGTTCCCTGATCTTGGCTTGGTATTTCTGCCACCGCCTAAAGGCAAAACCCCCTTTGAGAACCTAGGAAGACATAGTTGGGAATTTCTTCCTGTGGGTACCCTCAAGCTCTTTAAGCCTCCCTTTGGAGAGAGCTTGAAAAAGGTGTAATTTTTCTTAATATCTGCCCTTGCAGTCTTAGGCACACGCGCACAGAACCTCCTGCCTTCCAGGACACAGGAATCAGATCATGGTCTTAAAAAGGTGATTTTTATTAACAAAGAAAACACACTTGGTGAAACATTTCTTGGTTGTTACGCATTACAGAGCAACTGAAAAAAGATTAAAACACAGAGAATTGCTTCCTTGGGATTCAGCTTGGAAAGTTACAGTGTAAGGGGGTAATATATATGTTCAGCAAAGAGAAGCCCAACAAACCCAAAAATAAAATACGCTGATCATGTTTAACTAAACATTCCCTATTCTACTCACATATCTGTTGCTCCAAGATTTAGTCCTTCCCTAGGCACGGATATCACTGATTCCTCCAGAACTATTTTCCTGGCTTAATTCTTGTCTCCCAGGCTTTGCTCTGGTCATACAAAGACTGGCACAGGAAGATCACTGCTTCCAATTCAAAAGATCACACTGTTTTCATTAGCTCTCCTGGCTTCCTGCCAACTCACTTCTTGTTTCCCTAGCATTCCTAGAGACTCTCTAGGACTCACTATCCATGGGTTTAACCCTTACAGGCAGGACAATTAGGGTTAGCTTTCAAAAGTGAACCACTGTGAAGACTTTAATCCATTGCAAGGCTGGAATGTGCAGAAAAGAGTAGTATACCTCCCATTCATCACTGCCCTGTTGTCTCCAAAGTGCCCAGTTTGGTTCTTGGTAGAGCTCCCCTTTCCCTGCCCCAAGTTTCATACCAGCGCTGACCTCAGGGCTACACTGTGGGCCCTAAAGCTCCTGCAGACAGCTGCCAC